TATATCAGGAAGAGTGCATATATATATATATTTGATGTATGGATTTTCTCCAAGTATACTTTTTGAAAGCTGATTCAAGAAAATTCTGGATGAAGTATTGTGCACAGATCTGAATGCCAAAAATGTTTTTACACACTTATGTATTTTAAGAAATATACATGTACTGGAGAAAATGTGCCATAATTGTTAGGTGTAGTCATCATGTTCGGCATAAATGAACATTTTATAGTAAAGAAAGGTATGTTTGCTGCATCTTATGCATAATACACTCAGCTTTTTTTTACTCTTTTGTTGTAACCATTATGATTGCTGGCCTCTTCCCTATTGAGGCAACAACAACTACAACAACAAAAAGTGGTAATGATGGTGCTGTCTTTGTGTTTCTTACTTGTTTACTCTGTACAGAGCCAAACACACATGAAATGCTAAGTAAATCCTGCCTGAAAGAGATTTCAACTCGAATTAAGTTGGTATTTCTTCAATAGCCCCTTTGGTACTATCAGTACTGACTTCTGAAGCTAATTCAGCTGTGACCTCAAAACACCCTGATAAATATTAATAACAACATTCATATAATTATTCCTACTAGATCAGGCATGACTCGCAGTCAAACAGCATTACAATCTACAGAATAAAGATGTAATATATAAAATGACATTACCTAGGCAAAAATAATAATCATAATTAGACCTGCACATCTGGATCAAATTATTAAAAGGCATGATGAAAAATTTCATAAAATTATTATTTATTTATTTTTTTACATATTTTTATAGGATATTTATAGATTTATAAAAACATTTAAAATAATGTACAATTTAATTTAAATTTATACAATTGTATTAATGAACAAATAATTGTTTTGTTGTTATGCCAAGGTCTGAAATATTTCGAGCAATATAATAATATATACATAAAAAGAAAGCAATATAACAATAACCTCTCATTAAATGCATGATAAAAAAAGGTAAGTAATTAAAATAAATTTAAACTGGTATTAGATATTTATAGTTTTATAAATTAAGTTTTATAAAATAACATTTAATTTAAAATTGATTTTTTTTTTTTTTTTTTGGAGCAATATATATAAAAAAATATTACCAGGTAAAACTAAAGTAATATGAGATTTATAATATGTATTTTAATTTTCAATTTGCTCAATGATTAAATAATTTTATAAAAATATTACTGTTTTAAAAGCAGAACCAGTAGTCAGCAAAGCTGAAATCTTATATAGGCCTACCCTCTTATTTGTGTGACTTGTAATCCGCCGTGTTAAGAAAAGATTTGAATAGCTAAGGAGGTTCTTATCTCACTGTGACTGAATCATGGGGTCCACCATCACCCCGCTGCCGCAGTGCAAGCTGAGCCGGTCACTGTCTCAGATCAGCTCACATCTAATGCCATCCAACAGCCAAGGCCAACCTGCTGAGGACAGCAAGTTACATGAGCGTTATTTAGCAAGACAAGTTCAACGAGAGCACAATGTGGCAGTGGGGTTTTAAATAATCATCCAAGGAAGATTTTAGCGGAGAGACACCAGCAGGACTCTTATTCTGTAATGTCTAGTCATATACGTTCGCACTTAAAACTACAGATCATGAAAGCAAATATCTTGGAGGGATGCATATAAATACATATGTGAATATAAATATGATGGTGAGTCAGCTGCTGAGTTAAATTCAGGATATTATAATTTACACCAGTAGAAGGCAGTATTGCCCTGTGCATTTCAAATACAATTACGAACTATGCAAAAAAAATATATGATAAATGTTAGTCAATTGTGGCATTATTAAAAATGAACAAATAAATAACCAGAAAATCGTGTGATTTATTTGACCTTTTCTCTGAAAGATTATTACATACATTTATTTTATTTATTTATTTTTCAGAAATAATCGTTTAGGTCATAAATGAAATGGAAATCCGTTCAAAATTAAAAACTTAAAACTCTATCCAGAAAATGAGGTTCCACTGAGAGCAGTCAACTTATATCTATAACTCTAGATGAGATGAAAACCAAACATCTGTTCATGCATAATAATCAGATCTTTTTAAAGACTCTTTTTAAATTGTTTTACCTCTGCATGCTATTCTCTTTACAGAAAATGTTCACAAGGCTGTCATCTTAATTGATCTATTTATTGAGGTAGCATCAGTAAAGTAGTACAGTCACTCACAACAAACACCTATTTTGTGTCTCTATGAGTTTTACAAAATGCAGACAAAGAGCTAATGTTCTGTCTTGATTTTTGGTGAAGTGTATACAGACACAGGTGTCTGGCACACAACGTGGCGGTTGTTAATTATATCTAAGCATCAAGTTGAACGCAGTGGCGGCAGTGCCTTGAGAACACTCATGTATGCTTCATGTGGGAGCGCAGTGTAAAATAGCTTCAATGTAGAGCAACCAATTTGCAGTGTCACAACTTTGACAGATGGGAGTAACCAACCCTGCTTTGCTGACATGTGGTTCTTTCCATCTGTCAGCTGCATTTAAAAGATTGCAGATTTCTTCAAATGTTTCTGCACACTCTGTCTTGCATAACATGCATACAATCAATTGCCGTGAGAACTGATAGTTCATTAGTTCACCATGTTTGCATGTGTCTGACAGACATTCTTTGCACCCCTTGTTATCTACTTTGGTAGTCCAATAAAATGACTCGGTCTGGTTTAATCCCGTGGTTATCTCTCTTTGTATGTTTGAGGTAACTGATAATTGACTGGATACTTACTAATCTTCTTTTCTTTACCATGTAATAACCCCTGGCCTCTT